CCCCCCCCCCCCCCTCCCAAATTGACCCGCGCAGTGTAGAGAGCGAAATAAACTTGCAACTCAACCAATTTTTCAATTTTCTTCCGTTCAAATTCCACCTTTCATTTTTTTCCAATCGTTCGAGGCGTTTACGTAAGACTGAATCATCCGAAATTCGATTCCGCGTCTTTTATTTCCCGTAATCTCAGCGAGGCAGTCGACTGGATGAAATTCAGGATGAAGTAATAATGCAAAAATAGGGAAAAGGAAATATTCCAATAAAAAATAAAAATCATTAAGGAAGAGTCATCCGTGTATACGTGGAGCGAGAGACTTCCGATCCATCCTCTTGAAGGTGGCACCACTATTCAGTTCTTGATGATAAATCGCCCTGGGAGCTCGGTATTTTTTGCAACATCAAAGACCATCAACTTTTGCGCTGGAATAAGGCTGAAGAGCGAAGGATTGAATGAAATTATCGATTTTTATCTGGTTTTTGTTACCTCAGAATAGCCCCTTTATGAATAAACCATCGCAGATAATGTATTCAAAGCCTGGATGGTTCCCTTTAAGCTCAGACCCGGCTGAAGCTCCAAAAGCAGGTCTTGATGGAAGGGGTAGAACGTTATCGAAACGTGGGATATGACGTCTATGTTAAATTACCAATTTTTTTTGTTAATGAGTCCTGCGTTGGAAATGTCGAACGATTTTTCTTTCGGTTGATTGAATGCTCGCCCAAAAATGTCTGTTTACATTTTTTATAAAGTCTATGCTTACTGAGATATTTTAATAATCGATAGTGAATGAATAATGGATTTGTTTCGGAAGAACAAAAAATCTGTTCATATTGCTCAGCAAATATTTCGGAAACTATTTGTTAAATTTTTTTGAATAAAATTTCGGGTACAATTCTTGAGAATTTTCATTTATTGACATTTCATCATTGGAAATTCCCAATTTGAAGATAAATTCGATGGAAATTCAATTTTAATTCAATTATTTCATGAATTCAGGTAAATATAGTCTTGATTGTTCGATCAATTGAAAATCCACGACTATATAACGTGTAATTTTGTACTGAATATTCATGCCTTAAATGGAAATACAAGTGAGTTAGGGAATTCTCGTCTTCCTGCTATTTAAAAATTTGGGATTCCCTTGAAACTTCAATGAAATTTGAAATTTCGATAGCTTTTCCCCTCTCAATTGTATTTAATGTTGTTTTCCTGAAAATAAGTACTAAATTCTACGAAGTTTCAATTTTTTTTCTGACAGTGTATCAAGATAGTTCAACCATGTATAAATAATCTGTGAATGATTTAACAACGAACATTTTGTTCCCATTATTTTTCAAATATTTCCGAAGCTGCTAGGCTTGGAGAAAATTATGATGAAACTTTTTTATAGCTGACCAAATTCCCAACGAAAATAATCCATTGACATTTCCTCCTAAAATCACTCATCTCGATATTTACCATTACATGATAAATCCACTTGTTATTTAATGTTTTACTTCACTATCGAACTCGCTTCTGCTTTAAATTAAAGTATATCCCAGGGATCGCCATCAATATGAAATTGCATCAATATTAAAGGAATTTACGACTTACATTGCTAAAGGTTTAAATATTCTCATCAAAATATAAAATAGTATGATATTAATAATTTAATTTTGCGATTGATGATGAATTAATTTTATTTTTATTCATATTTCTTTCCTACTACCATTACGGTCTTATAGGCTCCCCATTCGTCTGCCTTGCCTCTCCCACTTCTCTCTTCTGATTTTTTCTGCGTTACCATGGGCCGTCTTACTCTTAACTGTACCCCATCCAGGCTAGAACTGCAAGGGAAACCATGGAAACCCCAGTCGTACAGCTGGCCGATTGTGCAGAGACCTAATGTACCCTTCTGTCACACTGACTAGAGTGGCACATTAGGCCACTGCACCGTGCCTACCTTCCGAAATTTTTGGGCGAGGGTGTTCCTAAGCGGTCACCCATCCAAGTACTAACCGCGCTAAACAACGTAGCTGCACTCGGATGTCCGCCGGAGCAACACCTAACTCACCCAACCATTACGGTCGGATCTGATGATGAATTAAATATTTGATAATATGGGATTGTGAATTTTCCATTCAGTAAATAATTCTAATTTCTTAAAAGGGATTACCATTTGACCAAATAATCGGCAATCTTCCTATCTAAATTATCGATGAATAAAATTGTTCTGAATTTGAATATTTAAATTGAGTACTAAAATAATTAAAAATTTAAGAGTGATGTTCACTAAATGACGGGTTCAAAATTTAACGGTAATTATGATTTATGAATATGGCTCTCTCTGGTATGTCTGAAGACAATATCACCCAAAAACTAGTCCCTATGGATTTCCGGAAAAATTCTAAATAACTTATTTTTCATCACGCTGCGACGAAATAGTATATTTCGTAACGAGTGCAAAAAAGAGTTTTTTGGCGAGTGGAAGGGTTATATCACGAGCCGAAGGCGAGTGATATAATCCCACGAGCTAAAAAACATTTTTTCACGAGTTACGAACAATATTTTTCATCACAATGTGGCAGAAATTGGACTTTTAGACACGCGGAGCATGCCGAAAAGAGGCTGTGTATAAGAAGCGACTTCAATCGTTAATAACTTGAAAAGGAAATTTGAAAAAATTCTGGAAAACATCATAGATAATTCAATTGTCATTATAAACATTCTATATAAATTCCAGACGAATGTCATTATTTACCTTTTTCGCACGAAACCCCTTAAGATGGAAAAATCGAGTCGGGGGGACCTATAACGCCCATTTGGCCTATGCCTCGCGTGTTAGAACCCCAAAATTTAATTATTTCTTCTGTCCTAAACTAAAGAGACTAAAGAACCGCTGAGGCGATTGTCTTCGCAATTTAATCAGTTCGAAGTTACATGAAGATGCATCGATTGAAAAAAAAATCGAGTCGCTTCGTTTGTTCAATAGATATCGTTGGACAAAATTTTAACCGCATACACACACACACGCGCGTCTTTAAAAACGTGTCAGGATGATTCTACGGATCATGAAACGTCGACAAATCATGGAAATTCCACTTTTGATTTTCGGGGTAATCACAATAACATTCTCCCTTAGGGTCGGGAAGTTGATAAAATGAGTCAACAATCATCAATTATCGCCATTATCAGTTCTTGGACAATATCTCAAAATCTCAGCGAGATATTCCGCAATTTTTTTTAACTTCCCGACCCGAAGGGAGGAAGTTATTGTAATGACCCCGAAAATGAAATGTTGAATTTCGATGATTTGTCCACGTTTCGTGCCCTCTAGAGTCATCCTGAAACGTTTCTGAAGAAATGTATGTGTGTGTGTATGTGTGTGTGCATGCGTAGCACTGTATGCGAGTGAAATTTTGTCCAACGATTTCTCCGGAACGAACGAACCGATTCGACTTTTTTTTTCTTTGATCGATGCGTCTTCGTGTAACTTAGAACTGATTAGATTATGGAAATGATTGCCTCAGCGGTTTTCCAGTTATCTGCATAAAACATGAGAAAATGTCAAACAACGTTACATTTACTGAAATTCGACGATTTCATCTGAAATAACGATGGAATTTGAATCAATTTCGTGTAATTGCAGCGTCATTATGTATCTTGAGTGTAATTAGATTTTGAGCGAAGTCTCCTCAGTGGTTTTTTAGTTATTTCAATAAAACTTTCGAATTTTCTTCTATGGGTATTTCCTCAGAGAAATGTGAGGCAAAGATTGAATAAATACATAATAAAAAAATTAATGAAAGAAAAAACAAATGGTCGGGAAGTTATTGGTGCGACCCGTAATGGGTCACACCCATTCCACCTACCCCCACCGGTCATACCCCAAAGAGGGAGCGCGCGACCGGGCCTGATTTTTTTCATTTTGAATCGACTCATTTCATTCCAGCTCTTCAGATGCAAGACTTGTAAAAAATTTGATATGTTTTATTGAATCACAGTATGCGGCACGGAGAAGAGTACTTGGTTGTGCCTGCACTGTGGTACAGTACACTGTGGGCGTTACGTGGCTGGCCATGCCCTGCAGCATCACGAAAAAAATAATCATCACTGTGTGTGCATTGACTGCGAGAATCTGGCGGTGTTCTGGTGAGTTGAACAAACAATTAGCCTAGTACACTGACAGAACAGAAACGCCAGAGAATTCTATCATCATCAAATTAGTAATTCATCTTACAGTTAGTTTTTGTAATAATTGTAATGATAATTGCAGTGATGAGGGGGTAATTAAGATGTTCCAAGCTTTATAAGTGTTCATAATCTTCATAATGTTAATTTCAAGGGGTGACCTTGAAATCTACTCGATCTTGACGAATTGCTGGGAATTCTCTGAAGGAATTTACGTTCGAGAGAATTTTCAAAATATCTATTTTGTTGGAAATTATATGAACTATAAAAAAGGTCCTTCGACATTTTTTTGTAAACCAATTACTTTCGGGTATACTCGTAGAGTAGTCTGGAAGTAATTGTTAGAGAATCTAAAAATATTCATAAATTATGTGATTATTATTTCTTTAATACCTGTAAAACCATTGGGTTCGAATAAAAATATCTAGAAACATTTTTTGTAGTCCACGAAATTATCAGCAAAAAAATCATTCTCACATTTGAAACTTCTATTGTATACAAGGGGTTATTAAGCTTACATAATAAAATACTTAGTGATAAATACTGAGTGAAAATTCAAAATTCAAATCCCAATCGTTCAAATGAAGCTGAGTTTCAAGTAAAGTGTAAAAAATCTAAGATAACGATAGATAACGCTAAAGATTGAACTCAACCAGGCAATAAAGGTTTAAGTTAGCGGCGATGCAAAAATAAAAGCTAATCAAATCTTAAGAAATAAGTTTGAGTTATAGAGTACAATTATAGAATAGTACTTGTTTTACTCCATTTTGAATGAATGGATTCTCCAATTAAAATTGTTAAATTGAATTAATAAATTTCATTTTGTCAACAGCTATTCATGTGATGAGTACGTAGTTAACGACACATCAACAGGCCAAATAGAAAAAATACGCCAGACTACATTCCATAAAAGTGAACAGAAAGAGAACGACGAGAGTTGGAGTTCATCAGCATCACCAGACCTAGACAGTGGTAACGGTGATAATGATGATTCCGATGCACTTTGGAAGACTGAAGTTGTAGTAAGAAATTTAAGACCACGAACTAGAAAGAGATTGCACTCACTCGATGGTACCAGTGGCGATAATCGACCAGTGACAAAACGACGTACATCCAAAATAACCAAAGAGAAGAAAGTCGTTGGTCTGAGAAATCTTGGAAATACGTGTTTCATGAATGTTGTACTTCAGTCCTTTAATAATATCAGCCATTTCTGTGAATATTTAACGCAAATGCCGAGCTTAGAGGGAATTGCATTTGATGAGCCACCGACACACAGGGGGAGAATTGTGGCGCCTGGGAGGGCTAAGGAATTAAGTGATGCGTTACTTGCTGAAGAACTGAGAAAAGTATGAATTCATCAATTTTATTCACTGGAGATCGCTATGAAATTTTAAAGTGCCTGAATTTAGCATTTGTTACACTGAGAAAAGACTGTTTTTTTTTCAGAAATACGTCGATTCTTGTATCAAGAAACTCTTGGCTCGAACTTTTTCAAGGGAAAAATATCATACACTGTGAGAAAAAGAAATCTTTAAGAGATTTTACTTGTACTTGTCCTAAAGACGAGGACAATTTGTTTATGATAAGAAAGTGATTTCTCAAACCAAGTCTATCTTAAAATCAAGTTGAGTTAATTTATTTAATAGTTTTTTAGTCGCCTTCTTGTTATGGTCCAATTGTCCTCATCTTTCGGGCAAGTACAACATTTCTTCACAAAATTTTTATCTTGCTCTTCAACAATTTTGAGCCATCAGTTTCTTGATTCACTGATAGTTTAGTTACCGTTAACGAGACTTCCTAACTATTATCACGATTCGTTAATAGTTCACGAATCGTGGTAATAATTAAGAATCCTTGTTAACAGCAACTAAATTGTTCCCCCTGTTCTGTAAAAATAAACCTTCTCAGTATAGAGTCCTCAAAAGAGAGGAAAAGAAGCAAACCGCGACCGATTTATGACAGCTGTCACAATTCCCCGGTCCCTCCTCTATGACTGTTATAATTTGCCAAAAATGCTATGATGCAACTTAATTTTTCCTTTATCAATTTTTATGTGAATTCACTTCGTATTAGTCTATTGTTCATTTTGGAATAAAAATTACGGTCTTTTTTCATGTCTATGAGTGAAACTATTTTTTGTTATTTATGAATATCACAAATGAGAAATTATTTTTGACAATAATGTGCTTACAAATTATTTGTGACCATCATTTTTAGTTGGAAAATTTGTGCATCACATGACCATCATTTTTTGGTCATATGACGCGATCTCAAAAAAGAACGGTCATTTTGTATCGCTGATCTGTACACGAATGAAAATAAGCATTGATTTTCAAAAATATCCATATTCAGTATTTATTCATGCTTTTTGTCAGTGGTGTCGCCGATCTGAACCCTACAAAATCCAGAAACTTTTAAATTTCACCGCAGTCTCCCCTTGAAGTTACTTATCTATCAAAGTTTGCAATTATCTCGCGAATGAGTGATTTTAGGAGAACAGAGACCCTTTTCGAATTTTACGAAGTATTTTAAGAAAACATGTCTCTTTATATTTTCACTCCAACTATCAATAGTAGATTATAGTAGATTATTAGATTGTGAAGTATTACGTATTCTAGATGATATTATTATTTAATTAAAAATCAAAAGTATTATGAGAATTCTAAATCCGTTACCTTGCAATATTTCATTTATTTTAGTTATCAATATCGATGATTTTCTTTGACACACAATTACAAAATTACCGACGTCGGTGGCCGAGTGGATTAGACGCAAGTCTAGTGTGCGAAAGGTTGTGAGTTCGATTCCTCGTGGAACCGAATTGTTCAACGGAAGGCTCCGGCGAGCGGGAGGTTGCTAATAGAGGAACCGCCTGTACCGGCATGGGTTTTCTGTGGTTTCCCCATGCTACTTCTGTGTTCTATAGAAGTGCGAATGCGGTACAGTGTAGAATCCACAGCCGCATGCATAGGGTTGGATAGAGTGCCGAATGGAACCCGAATCCGAGGCCGTAAAAAAAAAAAAAATTACAAAATTCAAATACATTAATTCTATTTCCAAGTCATAATATAATAGTACATTATGTCATGAGGGCGATAAGCGGCGGTTTGTGAGGAGTGTGGAGTTGCAGCAAGAGGCGTGGCAAGCAGGAGACGAGGATCGCCGAAGGCGATCCGAGTCGGACGCTTGCCATGCCGAGTGTTGCAAACTCCACACGACTCACAAACCAACGCTATCGCCCGAATGGCATATACTATTTTTCGTCACGAAGGCCCGACGCGGGTGTGGGCGCGGGAGGGGGTCCAGGGGGACGAAGTCCCCCTGGTGGGGGGGGTTGGGGGGGGGCGAAGCCCCCCCCCACTGAAGAAAAAAATAAAAGCAATAGAAAAAAATAAATCGAAATAAAATCAATATCAGTTGATGCGAAAATAAATAACTAGTAAAGTCCGCCAAAATATCCAAAAACAGTAGGTTGATGACGGTAATTTTGGACCTGTGAAAAGAAAATTGCATAAAAAATAGAAAATAAGAACAGATATCAAAGATAAAAGAAGATACTCAGCTGTTCAATTTTTCTTCTTTTATTAAGAACAGAAGTCGACGTTATAAATACTGATATTTTAGAAATTGTTGTTTTTTGAACAAAAATATCAACTTTAAATTGAACAAAAACTCGGAGAGTGACTTTTTTCTAATGATAAATCTTCTCAATGACACACAACAACATGGCTACCACTAGTGGGTTAAGTTGTAGAGAAGGCCGCTAGAGGCGCTGTACAGCTCATCCGACTATACGTTTACCCGAACGCAGAGCGCATGCCCAAGTGGGGGGAACGTCAGGGCACATGGTGACGCCCACTTTATCGCTCCTAGGATGGGTAAGTGAGATTTACCCTCCTTGGAGCACCGAGCGTCTCATTTACCCTCCTTGGAGCACCGATTATTCAAGTGCCGCGGTAAACTCTCTTTACCCCCTCTCGACAGAGCCCGAGTAAGCGCCGTTTATCGGGCCGAGTGACGAAAATAATCATATCGTTTATCGATCTTAATGAAAAAATATTATTTAAATTTATAATTAATGCAACTAACGAACTAGATTAATTTATATTATTTTATTTCATTTTATTTTCTTTCTTATTATTATATATATTTTTATTCCTTAATTCACGAGTTACAACATTGAATGAAGAGGAATTCAACAGAAATCACGTGAGAATACAGATCGACAAACAATTTTCGATAATCATAGCTAAAATTTTTCATTTCTTTCTTTTCCTGTAAATTAATTAGTACCAATGATCTGAAATTGTGAACGAATATGAACATTTTACATCCCGTTGATCTCATTTCAATGGAACCGAAAAAAGAAATTGCAAAGACAGATCGATCATCATCAATCAGTATCAATAAAGTGAAAAAATCTATTTTTCTGTCTTTTCGATATTTTTCAAATTGTTTTCTTCTTAAAAAATGAAGGTAGATTAACATTTTTAGTTTCTGTGATCGCATTCCATTCACAGAAACAGGAAATACGAAAAATGTAGGGAAGGAAAATCAGAAATAAATTTTAAAAATCGATTTTTCGATCGTGAAAATTTAAAAACCTTTTTTTTTCTTAATAATGAAGAAAAACCAATGTATTTTCTTTCTATTATCTAATTCTGACGGAAGAAAGTGAAAAGAGGAAGAGAAACGAGATCAACACGAAAACAGAATTTTTAATTTTTCAGTGTCGATGGAAAATTTTAAAATTGATATATTTTTTCGAATAATGAACCAATACCCATAAATTCAATTTCTATCCTCACATTTTCATAGAATACATTTGAAAAATAGCAAAGAATTCAAATCGGCAATGAAAAATTTTATCGGATTATTATTACGTAATTGCTTAATGCTGCAAATGATGCAAATGATAGAAATAATAGACTAACCAGTCATGTCATATGTTGAGAAGCACGAGAGGGAGGTTTCACGTTCACGGAGATAATTTTTGATGGAATGCAGCGTAAATTTTATAGTTTCAGTACAAATTACCCTCATGTTCTGTATATTTTTCCAAGCCAACAGAAAAATTCACTTTTCGTCTAAGCCCGGTGGCTTGGCGAAGTGGGTAAGTTCGTTGCCTCACATGCGAAAGGTTCCAAGTCGAGGGACTACTCACTCCCCGATTGAATGACACCATGACTTCGAAATGAAGTCGACTTCACGTGATTTCGGGGTTGATTTCAGTGACTTCGAGTTTGACTTCGGTGATTTCGAGAAAAAACGAAATCAATGACTTCAAGTGGCTTGTGACATGACTTTGTGACTGCAATTGACTTCAAATGATTTCATAGATTCGAAATGAATGATTTCAGAGGCAATGTAGTCATTCAAATCACGATTAATAAAGCTCAAGGAACGAGAGGGAATGGGGCAGAACAGGCCGGCTTACGTTTTCGAAGTCTGCCTGTTTTAAAGTAGGATTCAGTGCAACTTGTTCTGATTCCAAAGCATGAACCAAGAACTGGAGAAGGCTTTACTTGACTTCAATCTGTCAATCTCGATTTTTTTTCTAATAAAAAACAATTAACAATTAATTTCCAACCTTTATATTTGAAGAGTGATACATAAAATATTTTATAAATTCATTATTTAACGTAGCAACTGTATTTTTTCAAAAATATTTTTTAACCTTATCAAAAATGCTCTTATGGAGCTTTATATGGCCAGTCTCACATATCAGTGGAGGGGAAATTTTCTGTATTGTTTTATATCGATGTAGCCGTGAACAGTCATTGGCTCGGATTTCAAAAAATTAAAACTCTGATCTAAAATGTACCAATGTCACAGAACTTACTAAGGAGTACGATATTCTCTTGAATTCAGTGTAAGAATCCTGCTCAGTAACAAAAGTAAGAATATTATTTACTAACGTACGTCAGCGCGGTACGTTAGCCGCAGTATGCTACGCCGGTTAATTTAATTGATTTCAAATGACTTCGGTGTGATTTCATGACTTCGGCGCGACTTCAAGACTTCGGCATGATTACAGAAATGATTTCAGAGAGTTGAAATCGCATGACTTCAGTGATTTCGATGACTTCAATGAATTCACATGATTTCAATGTGACTTCAGATTGACTTCATCACAGAGTAGCGCCATGACTTCGGGAGTGAATAGCCCCTCGTTCCGAGTTCAAATCCCGGCCGGGTAGAATGGTGCGATCTAACCATTTAAAGTCTTGATAATCATCATCGCAGTATACCCCAACCGGGTCGAAGCGATGTAAAATAACGATAAAAAAAAATTTTCGTCTCGCACTTTTTCCCGATATAAGGTGAAAAAGTACTGAAAATAGAATTCGCTCTACGATTATTCAACTTGTTTGGTAATTTTTCTCCAACTTTTTTCTTCGTGAAGCCACGCGTTTTGTGAATTTTCTAACTTATTCCAATATTTTCGGAATCGACTTTCGCCGGATATTCGTATAACTCTAATTAATCACACTATTGATTCGGATATGCTATATTCATCATTTGAGACTAAAGGACATGATAAAAAATGTCGAGAGGTCTCTTTGGTAGCTGATAAAATTCTCTAAAATCATTCATTCTCGAGGTATTTGAATTGAATTTACGACGCATTGAATTTTTGCATTTGAGCTGTATTAATTGATTGGATTAATTGATTATTCTATTCCAGGTACTTCTTAGTTTGAGTCTAGGTGGTTCAAATGGCCAAGCCATATCTCCCGAGTGTCTTTTCCTCGTAATATGGAAAGTGGTGCCACGTTTTAGGGGCTACCAGCAGCAGGACGCTCACGAATTTTTGACTTACATGCTTGATAGACTTCACACTGAGCTTCTCCAGCTACTGCCAAGACTGGGTCATGAACCACTTGGGCTTAGGGGTAAACAGAGCATTGTCACTGCCGTTTTTGGGGGCACGCTACTCAGCGTGGTGCGTATTAACTAATAAGAACAACTAATAAAAAACCAAAACAAGTTAAACAAAAAAATCAGAAAAATGATTGCAAAAATAATTGTAAAAAAACTAAAATAATTGCAGCTTTTAGAGTGTATTTCGACGTATAAGTATACAGAGTTTTCAAATTACGAAAATTTTTTCTCGAAAAACGAAAAATCCATATTCATTCATCATAATTACCATTAAGTTTTGAAGCCGTCAATTAGTTAACACCACTCTTAAACTTTTAATTATTCAAGTAATCATCAATTTAAATATTCACATTTCAACTATTTTCTTAATCAATAATAATTTAGTTAGAAAGGTATTAATACTATAATATTCTTAGGGTTTGATGAGTACAATTAAACATTTATCACCGTAAGTTGCAAATCCTTTTGATGTTGAAGAAATATAATACTGATGGCCATCCCTGCCTTCGCTTAAGAATATCTCACCGTGTATTCATGGAAAACCCCTGTTCCGTAAAGATTAAATCTCGAAAATGATTTTCTATCCCAAAGGTCCACTGTATGAACTGCCGAACAGATTCTAAGACTCACGAGCCATTTCAAGATCTCTCACTGGACATTCCTGACAAACTGCAACGGAGAAATGCAACCAAGGAGCAGGAGGAAGTGTGCAGTCTCACCTTCAGTCTATCACGTTTCTTCAAGGTCGAGGAGCTAGCCGACAGTGAGCTGTACTTCTGCGACAACTGCATGGGAAAGCAGCGCTCCACCAAGCGATTCTGGATACACAGGCTGCCTAACGTTAGTTGTTGGCCACTCATCTACCCAATTCTAAATAAATTCACGAAAAAAAAAAGCTGGCGCGCTCGATAGTAGAGCGCGCGACGTCCCGCACGTCACCATATCGTTTTTCTCTTCCAGGTGTTGTGCCTTCACATAAAAAGATTTAGGTGGTGCAATTCCTATCGCTCCAAGGTGGACACCCAGGTGGATTTCCCCATGGAGTCACTCGATATGTCCATGTACACAGTTCGAGGCTCAACTGGGGGTAAAATGGGGCCACAAAACGGCCATCTCTATGATCTTGCTGCTGTTATTGTTCATCATGGATCAGGGTATTTTGAATTTTTATCATTTGTCCTTCCGAATGGAGGCATTTACGTATGAAAAAATCCTATAGGATTTCCTATATCATATTCGATAGGATTTCTATAAGATTCCATAGAAAATGTTGAATTCTGCATAGGATTTCCTATAAAATTCCTTATCAGTTCCCGGTAAAGCCCAGTTCGACCTGAAAAGAACCATTTTGTTCTAAAGAATTCAAAAAGCTACTAAAGACAATTGAATTAGTTTTGTCATTTAAGAATGCTGAATGAAACAAGTTTATTTCAAGACAAAAGATGATGACGCGACGAATTCAATAGAGATCAATAAATAATGCGATTGACCCTTGTAAAATTCATCTCTTAAACGGTATGGATGAGACGTATGATCCTGGCGAGGTATGAAACTCGTGACTTTTATCACCCTCGCCAGGTATAATCTTCGCGAAACTTCATGGTTTACAAAAACAGGCAACTTCGACTGGGTTTTTACATTTTTTACATTCATTACGTAAATTACGGGTTTTTTACAATGTCATGCAAATAACTGCGGTTACCGACAGATACCCAACCCTGCTTTCAACCCCCGGAGATCTACACAAGAAACACCTTGGGAAAAATATATAAATTCAATCATCTCAATCAGCCTCAAGCAGAAAACAATATAGTTCCTCAATTCCACCCGGTGAATTCACAAAATTAATTCAACAAATTAGTAAAATCATTGTTTTCTCATTTACAGAGCTGGTACTGGACATTACACTGCCTTTGCCGTCCACGACGGCCAATGGTTTCACTTCAATGACAGTAGTGTACGTCCAGCAAGCACCGAATCTGTCGCCAAGTGTAAACCCTACATTCTCTTCTACGTACGACGTGAATTTTCAATTCCACCGCCATTGTGACATCGTACAATTAAAATCAATGATGACGGTGAGAACGACGAGGAAGAGGACGAGGAGGATAGCGTTCACGATAGCATTGATAACGGAATCGAGAAGAAATGAGATAATTTACGTCAGTATTTCTTCCCTTTCAATCCCCTTTCAACGAGATGAGGATCGACATGCTTTTGAATATCGTTGATAACGATGTATTCGTCGGCTCTCCCCCTCCCCCACACACATCGTCAGATCTCTTTCTCAATGAATCTAGAGTGCCTCGTTCCGTCGATTACGCGTCGTCGATTGTCATGTAATTAATTTTCGAATCATTTTTTCATTCGAATTTCCACGAAAAGTTGTGACGCGTCAGTTACGTCTTGCTGAATGTGGAATTATCTAGATAAGGAGTGTATTTGTGGGAAAATATCATGTGTGGGAGACATTTGTGTTGAGAATTTTATAAGTCACAAAAAAGATTTTTTGACATTTTTTCTCAATGTAAGGGTTCCGGAGATATCGACGAACTTATTAATTCGCAATTTATGAAAATTCCTTTATAGTCTAAAAGGAAGTTTCAGATCATTTCGCAAATATTTGTTGCAAACAAATTATTTTGACATTTTTCTCTTAATCCAATAGCTGTAGAGATATTCGCGGAATTATCTCTACAAAATTCGAACGATTTCCGTAATTGTCTGTGAGAAACTCAAACTATTTTGCAAATATTTCCAAAACTAATTGACTCAGGAGACGTCAGAACACATATTTTGAGCATTTCATAAGTCACAAAAAAATTCTCTTACAAAATATTCGCAAGAATCATCGACAAGAAATTTATGAAAATTCCTTGATTATTTTACAGGCAAAATCTTATGACACCTCCTCCCCAACCATTCTATTCTAAAGATATTTCCATATTCTCTAGACAATTCCCATCTGACTCGTTACATAATCTCTCTAACTACTCCGTCCTGCTTGCGGACAGGCATCTTAGCAAAACAAAGCAAAAATAATGATAAGAAATCTATTATAAAGAAACACCGAGACACCATGGAAGCTTTAGCCAAACCAAATTGCTAAAATGAGAAGCCCATAATTCACTGAATTAAAGAGAAAGAACTGTCACAAAGGTCTACTACTTCTCCCTCCTCGTCCCCTCTCCATTCGCATCTCCGACGTTTAGTTTCTCTCGAACTTAGGTAGAATGAGCAAATTCTATATTTTTCTAGCTACCGGAACGTTAATAGTGAAGAAAAGAATGAAGTAAGAGTTGCCAATCGTTTTTTAAGTACTAAAAAAAATTAATAGAAAAAAAGGTAATTCATTGTGATATAGAGAAACGAAGGCATTAAAGGTGTGTTTAAACATGTGGTCGTAAAAAAAAAGTTGTATAAATCGAACATATAGTTATTATTATGTATGTGTATAAATATGGATGTGTAATTATTATACGTGAATGTGGGAAAATCTGAGTGATTAATCTAAAGTAAAAGCAACAGAATACATTTTGCTTATTTGCGTAATGATCTTGCGGTGTCACGGTGGATTAAAAAATTCATTCATTCATTCTTCATTTCATTTTCTATTCTTTCTCATTTTGATGATTATAAAGATAGACCAGACGCTCAAACACTTGAAGAATCACTCGTGAATTTGTGGACTTTTGAGAAGAAGAGTTGAGTTGAATAATTTCATGCAATAGAAATTTGCAAATATCTTTGGGATGAGTGGATTTACGAGAAAATGTTGAGAGATCTTTTTTGTGCGAAATTTCATAAGCTACAAAAAAAATTTTTCCACTCATCTTCTTAGTCATTTAAATCCTCGAATTGATTCAAAAAATGACAAAGATTATTTGAGCATCGCGGGCAGGTGTTTACGAATCATATTCTTATGTCATCCCCCATGTCTGCGCAATGACCTGAATCTCCTAAGCAGGAAAAATAAATGAAACTGCGCAAAATGATGATTCCCCACTTTTCAATATCGCTTAATCCTTTGAATTTGACCAGGGGGCAAGAAAATCCAGCGATAATTCCCCTCATACTCTCCCCTATCACTCGTAATTCTGTCAGATAAAGTGCGAAAACAATGAAAAATGCTCGACGACTCTTATGTGATTATTTAAAGACTTATTTTTTCTATAACGAAGTAATCTTAACAATTAAAGAAAGGAAGAAAACAATAAAACTATAACGATAAGTTGATGACACATTAGTCCATGAGAAACAGTTTATTGAAGTGTAAAAATAAAAAATAAAAATCGACGAGATGAAAAATGACAAAAATTCAATTGCCGGACTTTCACTTATAATTAATAGACTAAAATTCACAAATGAGCTCATAGATGCGAAAATAGTTAAGTGATAAACAGTGTTATCGAGAAATGCGATTAAAGAATTGCAAAGGAAAATTATCAGGAAAAATCAATAGCCATGTATGGAGAAGAGACGAATAAATCAACATGGCGAAGCACTTTGATCTTCATTTTTTGTTCATCATCTGCGATTTTTATGAACTAAATTACAGAATCTTATGCGGAAATATTCTTCCACTAAATCGTCATCTAGATTTTTTTCAGTCTTCAGATCGGATTTCTGAAGTTCTTTAGGAAAATATGATTCTTCTGCATGGTGACAGGTGTTCTTATGTACAGATGGTAAATTATCCTCATTGCTGCCTTGGAAAAGGCTCTCCACTTGCGGAATATCGATCCCAAAGAGGATAGAGCTAAGATCTTAGGTCTGTCCTCTTCGATCGACCTTGTGAGTAATTGGTACCATCGAACGGTAAGTAAGAGACTCTACACCCATTTATCATAGCTTCTCCAGGATTTCGAGTGAGAAGACATCATCTTCGAAGAACTTACGATCTTTTCTTCAGTAGAATTAAGAGGCATTGAAGTTACATCCATATACTTCTGTATCTTCTTGTCTTCGTAAATTACTTCTGCAGTTGAAACTTGAAAGTGAAGATTTCTGATCGTACGATTCAATGGTCACGTTTGGAAAGAACACATATGAATCAACATGGTGAAAGACTTTGGTCTTCATTTTTGGCTCATCATCTGAGATCTTTTGTGGAATAAATTACAGAATTTTAGGCAGAAGCACTCTTCTACCAAATCACCATCTAGATCTTCTTCATGGGCTTCAGATCGGATACCCGAATATTTTTCAGGGAAATTTGACTCTTTCGCATGGTGGCAGGTGCTCCTATGTACACATGGTAAGTGATCGTCACTACTTCCTTGGTACAAGCTCTCCACTTGCGCATCTTTAACGAAAAACACGGAATACCGATCCTGTGAGTGGTTGATACCATCGAATGTTAAGTAGGAGACACTCTGTGTCCATTTATCATCTTGCTCATATTTTCTCGGGGGTTTCGAGTTAGAAGACATCATCTTCGCGGGACTCAACATGTTTTTATCAGGAGAATTAGAATAGGCACTAGCACTATCACTCGAAGAATTGCATCTACAGTTTTTGTTCTCGTAAATCACTTCCGCAGTCGTGACTTGGTGGTCAGGCCTTCTGACCATATGATCCAGAGAAAGGTGATGATGATAGTTCTTACAGTGATGCTGAGGGGACAGAGTGGAAGTCTCTGAAATCGTGAAGGGAAACCGATCCTGACTCTTCCGCGGAAGCTCGGCGGGTCTCGAATTCTGCAGACTCGAAAGGGAGGACCTCATGTTGACTTGAGTTGATGCATTAGAATGAGAATTGAAGGGGCAAATCGAGGTTTCTGATCTTCCCGAGAGAAGATCTGTCGCCGCGTTCGTTGGCTTCAGCTCCCATGGCATCTTTATCGACGCAGAACGGTCATAGTGGGATCTGATCTTGGCTTTTGGGTTCAAGAGCTGTTCTTTTTCGATTCTGAATGTTCTCGAATCCTTCTCCCTTTCCTCGTCTCGTTTCAGCTCTAAATCTTGTTCATCTTTTCTTTGCAATAATCCATGAGTTCGTGAAGACACAGGAACAGATTTAGCTCGGAATTCTCTTCCTCTACCGCCATATTTGTTTGGTTTCAGAGGAATGTCTGATAGACTCTCTACGAGCTCATCAATGTCCAAATTTTTGTTATCTTTTCGTCTTTCCTCCTCTCGATTTGTGGATAATAAAGAAGGATCTGTTGATTGACAATTTTGGAGGTTTAGGTGAGGCACAAATGATCCAAATGCCTTTCTTCTTTGAGTAGGTTCTGGACTGGTTGAGTAAGACATCGAAGATGAAGTAAAAACTTCGTTTTTCCTTCGGTTTCTTCTTTTTGAAGTAGCCTCAAGGGGCTCCAGCAAACGTGGGAATTGGAATTTTTTGTTGGCTCTCTGCGGAGGATTGTCCGCACTTTCCTGAAGAGAAGAAGTCGATTTGTTTGGGGCGATCATTTTGTGGTTGGCATTGATCATTTCTGGATTTAGGGATTTTCTGATTTTGTTGTGAATGAAATCTTGGGCGTTAGTGGGATTCTGCACAGGTCCTTCATCACTCGAAGTTCCGCGAAAACTTCTTTCGGGAGAGGACGAATACATCCTCGCTCGTCTCCGGGCGCGCGCGACGCTTGTTCTTGGATCAGGATGTGTGGGAGGGTTATGATCCCATGGCGGCGGTTTATGTTCATGTATGGGATCGGTTTCTTCTTTTTCGTCTATTGGTTGTTCTGTTTGGAGGTGGGAGAAGACATCTTTGGAGATACTTCGCGAAGCATAACCTAGAAGTTCCGGAAGTCGAGATGATACGTTACTGAGACGTTTCTTCAGAGAAGTTGGGGAACTGTTCTCTGAAGTGTTTTCGGCGGAAGCTTCTTGTTTTTCTTGAATACTTCCCAGATTTTTGAAGGTATTCGTTTTAGTCAATTGGTAGTTTGACTCGAGCGAGTTGTAGACTTCGTTGATCTCGCTCAGGAGACTTTCACTGCTGCCTGCGATTTTGAAAATTAGGAGGGATATTTTTCTAACGGAAAAAGATTGCTTACCATCCTTGTCACTGTCTGGGGATAGAGGACTCGGAGTTTTCAAATTTTCATGGGTTAATATTAATTGCTCTTCCGTGCTCGAACGCTCCTCCATAAACATCAGTTGAAAATTAATTATTCGTTAGACATTAAACTTAACCATTAATATTCAGTCATCAGTCTCCAGCTAAATTCAGAGCTTTCGAAATGAAGGTCTACATGGAAGTAAGTATGAAATTACAAATCGAATTTGTAGTGAAATAGTGAAAGAAGAGAAATCTAACAGAAATAATATTCAAGGCTGGTTATTTAACAGAGAACGTTACGCTTTTTTTTAAACGTTTCTTGAAATTTTCTCTCAACGTCATTCACTTATTGTAGGAAATTCGAACGTGAAATTCTTGTTATTTTTAATCAAATGGCGAAATAACGGGTTTTAACATTCAATGGAAAAATTTTAATATCAAAATATTTTTAATATACTATAGTTGTAATCACGTGTGAAACAATGGTAAGCTGTGAATTTTCGTAGTGTTATAATTTCCTATTCATTTTCTTACTTGATTTTTTTTTATTCATGAAAAACCACATTACTCAATCCCACAATAATTTTAAAATTCCAAAAAAAAGCACCTAAAAATTGGTGTTCCGATCATTATGCGATCGTTAAACTCAATTAAAGATTACTTGATATCCTTCTTCTCTCTACTCTTTGACCACTCACTCCGACCTCGGCTAGCTTTGGCGGTGAGCTTCGGGTGGTTCGTTTACTCGGAGGGATATTATCCAGGATATCGAAGGTTTACGTTTTCAATAAACACTCGCGTATTTAGTCGGTAAAAAATACACGATATTTCAACGCGTTGGTATAACGCGTTGTCAATTATCCGCGACTCAAACTTGGTACTATGACTCGATTATATCCTGTATGGCTTAATACCTGAGCTCAGAGGTCCGCTCTGTTTTGCTCCTATCCGTACTCTCATGCTTCCAGAGTCCTCAAAACTCGTCAAAGCCTCAGTTCGCTGAGCTAAGTAATCTCACGATTTTCTTCACTAACCCTAGTGAAAAAACCTAAGGCAGAGGCGTAACACGCCTGATCAGAATTTCGGATCGGACTTGATCAGTTTCTGATCAAGACCTGAATAGAATTTCCACTCGGGTATGAGTCAATTTGAGAGTGAAATTCGTAAGTGTCCTGGTAGCTCAGATGGTAAGAGCACCCGACGCGACATTGGGAGGCCCCGGGTTCGATTGCCGGCTAGGAAGTTACTAATTTTTTCTCTCAAAAAAATTAAATTTGAATTAATGCCTAATGATGGAAGGCGGAGAAACCCTAGTGCAAAAACCTAAGGCAGAGGCGTAACACGCCTGATCAGCATGTCGGATCGGACTTGATCAGTTTCTGATCAAGACCTGAATAGAATTTCCACTTGGGAATACTGTCTTGTGTCATCATTGACATAGACTAAAACAGTCATCAACCTGAACTGGACTTGCATAAACCGTGGGACTTACCACGATGTCCAAATGATACCGTGGGACTGCTGACCAATGTCTGGATGACAGGAAAGAGAACTCACATTTCTCGTTCCTATCAACCATCATTATATTTATTCGAAGTATAATTATTCATTAAGGCCCGTCTTTCAGATATTTTTTTTTTATTTTTTCCCTAGATTCCCCCCATTTCCCTAGATTATTTTCCATCTTACGCCTATACTGATTAGGATCGATACAACGCGTGATAAAATATGACCTTGGACTCAAATGAAAGTTCATTAGCGTCGCCATGTTAGAAATTAGGTCTCAAAGAGATGTAAGATGTGATAANCGACGTATTGGTCGATCCCAATACATCACACGAGAATTCTCAGAAATCGATATAACAGATCCCTTCCTCACCAAGCGATAACATAAAAGCCTCATATTATTGTCGAAACCCTCCACAAGATGGCGATCCCCACCCACTCACCAAATTCCACCTCAAACTCTCCCTGAATCTTTCGCCATACCGAAAACATCATTTACCCAGAGTTCTACGAATACTCCCCGTAATGATGCCGTGGTTTCATCTGGTAATTCCCCCAATGACAAAGGACACTGTACAGTCTCCGAATAAGAGCAAAAGAGAAATTAGCTAACAATCGTGCGAGGTACAAGGGGCAAGGAAGAGGGACTGTATAAACTTGAAGAGGTAGGGGATGAGAGACAAGAAGAGCTTAGCTACGCGAGAAGGCGGTGCATTTTCGGGTAAGTTCGCAGAGGCAAGTTGTGTAACAAACTTTGCTTGGGATTGGTAGCCCGAGGGATGTAAGAAACTCAGGGGAAGTGGGG